GAGTGGTGAGTTTGACAGTGCTTGAGTTGGGAAACATTTTTACCGACCGCACCATGCCAGCGGCCGCCACTCACCCAGGCACGGGTTAGCGTCGGCCTGGACATTTAAATTTTTGTTTTTTGTTTTTTTTTTGTTTTTTTTTTTGTTTTTTTGCGGCCGAATATTCGGGTACGAGAAATCGTACCCGAGTAGTTGTCAACCGTGCGGGTACTCGAGCATTCGACTATATTTCAAAGCGATACTTTTGAGGTTTTAATACATTTATATGGTTTTAATCAAATCACATTTAGGGAAGTGGTAAGTAACACTTAACAAGTCAATAAACCAGAAAAGGGTACCTTGTTCCCTCAAATCAATAGATATATCTTCTTGGAGTTTATGTTTTGAATCATGTCGGTGACTTGCATCTTGCCTTTCTTCCTGCAATGGTTTGCATCCAGTATGCGTTTTTTTAAAACAATTTTCTAGTCCAATACTAGTGTCAAATGCATTAGGTGTCAGTAGCTAAATAAGTTCTCCTGACGCTCATAAGTAAGCCATTCTCACACTCTACTTTTAAAATTGTTCATATTTTACATGCTTAAAAACAAGATGTATTGTCACTTTCATGAAATTAGCACTTTGTTAATTGCCATTGGATTCTTTTGAATATTATATTCAAAATTCACCGATCTGAATTTTCCACAAGCAATTATCATAAATCAAATTGTTAGATCTTATACCTGCATTTAAGCTTGGTCGTCCAGCTTTATGCTGCTCTTAAAGGTACTATGTCCCATTTGCAGGCCAAAAAAATGAAAAGGTTAAATTCCAATGGCATTTGAAAGAATACTAATTAAGAACTTCCCTAAAAAGGGGGGGGGGGGCTTGAAAATGTGGGAAAATAACGACTATAAGTTGTCGAATTGACTTAAGAGCTATAGAGCCAGTAAGTACGGTAATAGTCTGATTTTTAGACCATTGCACCGAATGGTCGTACGTTTTATGCTGCGCAAAGATTCAATCATTTTAATTTTGGCCATTACAAGAAGTGGGTTATTGATGTAGACGAATGCTTATGTACAGCTCATTTTGTGTATATTATTACCAAAGAAGAAAAAAAAGCCAGTCAGTCACTCAATAGTGTCTGACAGTGAAGTCTAGCAAGTAAACAGGTTTCCTTGCATAATTTGAATATTAGGACACTGCTAACGTTTAAATTTCACAGATAGGACATACATGACATATTCATAATTCCTGCAAAGTTCTACAGAATTTGATGTTGCTGCAAAAGGGACATTATAGTATCTTTAACCCTTACTGTACTGGGAGGGGGGCCTGGGAGGCCCCCCCCTCGACATTTTCGGAGATTGCGCCGCAACCGCTTGAAATTTTGAATTGTCGTTTCATGACTTTTTTCCCTCAAGTCTTACGCACGTTTTGATACCATTTTCGTCGCAATCGGATATACCTGTGAGGTGTTACATAACAATTAGTATGCGCATGTCATCAAAAATATGCCATAATTGCATATATTCATGTACAAGCAGAAATGTGAATACAGGTTTAGATGTATTCCTTTCTAAGTGGGTGATATGAATTGATATTGAATTGCTTTTATATGTTTCTCAAAGTATCTTGATGTATTCCAGAACAAAAGAATACATAAGAAATAAAAACAATAGATATAATAAGAAATAAAAAAACAATAAAATACATAAGAAAATAAATATTTGAAAATCGCATCAAATTTGCATAAATTATCATTATTAATTACATCAAAATAAATATTTTGTGTTAGAAAAGAAGTTTCATATGAATAATGAGTTTCAACATTCAAAAAGTGGAGTTTGACACATTTTCTGTAAAATGCATAAAATTAGCATTTTGCATAATTAATTAGGCTATAACGACAAAAATTTGCATATTCGAAAAAAACTAATTACACCATCTTGTTCGTTACACAAATATCTACAAACATGCAAATTTTCGTGTTCATCGGACATCCGACGGCCGAGATCATAGGGGGGGGGGGCCTCCCAGGCCCCCCCCCCCCCCCCCCCCCAGTCAGGAGGTGCTCAAAATAGCCCAGTACAGTAAGGGTTAAAGTCAACAACGAACATCATTCATTGCCTACCCCCTTTGTACTAGTAAGTTTAATATTGTCATTTGTATGATGTACGTATCACAAGAAATGTCTGTGCATTTCCTTTACGCGATAAGTCTTGAACTTCTCTTTTAGTCAAAGACCCAGGCACAATATTACGTCCTGTTTATTTTAACTGGCAACATTGACTTTGGATGCACCATCTTGGGCTTTTCCATTTCCGGCAGTGTTTACATTGTGTTGTAGGGCCCTCCATCTGTTGTTGGTCCGTTTTTATTCCACTGACACAATCTATGGAGTCTAATTCAGTTTTAGGACAGAATATCGTACCATTTGATCAAGATTTATGTTCACTATTCAAAGGGGAAAAATAGATAACTAAAAATGATGTGTATGAAAAATTTGGCATTGTTTTATTTCAATATACGGTAAGTCCAAATATAACAATCGTAGTTCTTAAGGACAAAATTTTAGATAAAGCTGTTACCAGAAATATCAAAATTATCAGTTGTCGTCTTTTGTACTGTCATTAATTTTTCTTCTTAATTACTTTTTGTAAAGGATACACTATATTTATGGGATAAGATACTTAGCATTCAAATCTGTGATATAATTCTGAAATGGAAAAGATGAGAAAAATTTGAACATAATTGTTCATATATTGTTAGTATGGTGCTAGCAAGATTATGGTGTAATCTTTCTGCTTTTTTGTATTCTATTTGTTTAAAACTGGCCTGTATGAACAAGGGAAAAACAAGGAAAATGGATATATAATAGCTTATGCCTTCAAATATATTTCTGTTCCAGTATTTCAGACCTGAAGTAAAGTGCATTTCATCCAGCCCCTAGATAGTATTTTTTTAAAGGAGATATTTCATTTGCATATGTATTAAAGAAGAGTACCTTGTAATAGATAAAGTATAAGTAAACATAATTTGTTGATACAGCAAGGTTAAGAATCGGAGAACACAACACCCAAATTTGTCAGGGCCTTGGGGCAATTTTGCTATTTGTGCTTCTTAAATAGTCATTGTAACTCTTTGAGTATAGTGTATATGTAAGCCAGAGGCAATACTTTTCCTTTTTACAATTATTTTCATTAGTTTGAATAGCTTGCCCCCTCCCCCCCCCCCCCCCCCCCCCCCCCCGCCACCTTCTTTAGAAAATAACAAGATATTTTATCGAGGGTGAATATAATCATCTTCTTTTTCTCCATTGTGCATATACCGGTCTTTTCATTTCATATAGCTGTCCATTCTTTTATCATGCAAATAAACTGTAGGTGCAGGAAAATATTGATAAAAAGAGACACTCAAAGTATGATGTGTGATAGAAAAGGTATATTTCTTGTTTTGAACATGTTCAAATAATTGTGGCTACTCATGCAAATCATTGGCTGAATCTTACTTTTCAGGGAGAGTTAGTACACAATGTGATTTTATCTCATTCGTGATTAATTCTTCTGCAATCCATTTTGTTGTAATATGATGAATATATACATAATTTCCATTGGAGTATGAATACTTTCATGGAATTTGCACCCTAAAGAGTGGCAGTATTTAAACAACATTTCTGAATAACAGTATTCTGGAACTCTGCAGAATAAATCAGAACTTTTAAAACCATACATGAGTTTGCTCTTTCAAGTTTAATTGTACTTGACATGTTCTAATTTGATTCGATGTCATGCAAATCTGCACACAAACTGGATTAACTTGAATGAACAGAGATATTTTTGGCATGGTGCCAAACTATGAAAAGGTGCTAGGTGGTTGTCTTTTTCCTCCATGAATAACTCATCTCTATTTTAGAGCTGCCAATTTGTACTGATATTTAAGTACATGTACCGGTACATGTATGATGAAATTTCAGAATATACCCTATTCTACTGAATAGTTCTTGTAAAACACTGGTTTTTAGTTTTCCTTTTTTAAATGGTTATATTGTATTGATTTGAGAAATATCAGATTTCCTTCAAGAAATAGTATTTGCAGTTGATTATGTACCGAAATTCACTTTTGAATGTAAGGGACTAATTATTTTGAATTTTCAAATTGCAAGATAATCTTACATGCTATCCTTTCATATTTCCATGTCACCTAGCTTGCATGATGCTACTGCCAGGTTTTCAGAAATCTTCTTATTAGGTTTAAATTGTTCATTTTCTTAGCTATGCCTTGACTTGTAATATGCACTATTAAAGAAGAGAAAGCCATTATTAAGATTCAGATGAGTTCCTAATCTAGGAACTTTCCTTTTTAAATGTAACTATATAAAACTACTTCAGATGAAAAGTCAGTTATTTACATGCGGTTAAAGCTTTCCACAGGACTGAACAATGCTTTGTCAGATTGTCATTATGCCAGAATTAATGATATCAGAAAATTTAATATTACACTTTTTCTTTGTTTCTTAATTAATTCTCCTCTGATTAAAATATGCATTTATTACATGTCATACACTCTTTGTATTTTGCTGTATTTTGTTTGATGCTGAGAGAAAGTTTTGAAGAGAAAGAGAGTAGATGATCAAGATGAAAATTCCTTGAGGTTATTACAAGGGATAGTTTGGAAGGAAGAAGAGTTGTGGAGAGATTTGATATGAAGTGAAAGAGAGCAACAAACAAAAAAGAAATAAAGATATTCAATGAAGGTTGAATCCCGTCAAAGAATGAAATTCTGCATCAAATTTACTCATACAAAAATTATTAGATATGAATTTATCAGGGAGTAGACATATGGAAGCACATGTAAACATTTTGCCAGAAAAGAAAACTCTAAGGCCCGAATTTACAAAGGAGGTTTGTCGACAAACCTTTGTTTGACGCGTTTTTACAAGCCAGGTTTGTAAAAAAAAAAAAAAAAAAACGCGTAAAAAGGCGTCATATGACGCACGAAAACCAAGGTTTGTCGACAAACCTCCTTTGTGAATTCGGGCCTAGAGTCGGGACACATCGAGAATCGAGATTGGATAATGCTGCGAGAAGCTTTTTCCCATTTACTTTTACCGAAACCGCTACCATACACAGAATCTGATGCGGGTGAGTTCCCCTTTCTTTCTTTTTTCGAGTAAGTGAAAAGTGTTTAAATTGTACAGGTATGTGATATTATGTTTACCTGTGTATGAAGTACAAGTGTAATTTCGATAATTTTATTGTAAAATAATAATTTCTGTGTGTGATGGCAGCTAATAACGTTCTTTTCTATGGTGGAAATTGGGCGTGGTTTGTATGGGCTACCACCGTGGTGAGCATGCTCTGTGCCCGGAGGTTTGGGGGACGTTGTCCTCGCTGAACCGGTGATTGTAATGCAGTGGGGCAAGACCCGAGTTCTTGTCTAAAATTTCCGGTATAGGCATACAGTGCGCTCTAGACGGCTTATAAGTAACACCGCCCTTGTAACTAATTCCTTTTCACATAATCATTTTTAATCTTAATTAGGTATTTTATATTTTATTGGGCAAAGTAAAACTCAAACTGTTAATGATTAATTCAACGTGACGTCACATAGACCTCTAGATCTATTCTAGACCTAGACTAGTCTAGGTCTAATGTTGTATTTTTGATTTCCTTATTTTTTGAAAGGCCAATTTATTAGCACGACCAAAGCCGGCTTGTTTAGGTAAGGCACAGTAAATCGCCTCAAAAAGCTGCTGCGGTTTGTAAATGAATGGTAACTGCATGCTAACTTTCACATAGTCATTGATGACTGTGTTAACATAAAAACATGCAGAAATATGACATGAGCGTATTACACTTTACGGCTTCACATCTTCAGAATCAGATCATATTAAACTAACGTCGCGGTTTAGCTGCATCATTTTGGAAGGAGCTTTCATGCATTGCGTATAATGTGCTAGTCTTTAGACACATGATGTGACCGAGAAATGAGAATATTGATTCATTTGATTAGTAGTGGTTTTTTTTTTCTTCCTTATTTGTTGTTAGTCTATGTTTTATTTTTATCATTATAACTCCTAATCTAACGTTAGGTTATTATTAAGACACTCCACTTTTTTATTGGTGCTTTTCATTATCAGTTTTGACCTGAGACGGACCTAAAAGGATAAAATGGAGAAAGAAGGAGAAGAAATGCCAGCTGAATCTGGAGAGAATTTTGATGTTTATGATGAGAATACAGGAAACATTGATCATGTCAGAGACAGACAGGAACCAGACAATGCTTCAGAGGTTGTGTAAGTGTTTACTATTTTGTTTGCTTGCTTGTTTGCTTGTTGTTTTTTCTTTGTTTATTGTTGGATTGTTTATCAGTGTTAATGTCAATGTTGTTGCATTGTATTTGTCACTCCAAATTCATGATCTTTTAAAAAGAAAGTTAGGGATTATGGTGGTGCAGCTGATGGAAAATTACTTATGATAATGATAAGAAGAAGAAGGAGGAGGAGGATCCGAGGAGGGGGAGGGGGAGGGGTCTTGTTTACCATTTCCATTTTAATGTCTACATAAGGGGCTGATTACCCTTCAAACAGAAGTTTATTTCAATGGGTCCACACATTTTGAAAACAGTTACAACTGAGTATACATATACAGGGTATGTACAAAACAATCTGTTTGTTGTCTGCTGAGTGGAGAGCTGTATGGTTGACTTCACCATGGGAGCACCAACTGATGAAATGATGTAATGATGACCCAAATGTAGATATGTCCTGCTGGCCTTTTTAGTGTAAATTAATCAATGTGATTATGATTTAATTTGAAATTGTTTTTTTGTAGAACAACTTCATTAATTTGATGTGTCAGTAACCAATTGTTCTGTCGCTGATGTTATTAAAATCTTGTTTCATTCTTTTCCAGGATTGATCAGGCCAGCAGCAGTGGGCTGCAAGCAGACAGTGCAGACGAAGCCCAGACGGGGCCGACCCCGCCCCCGCCCAAGAGAACGACCAGCCAGGCCGGGAGGTCAGAGTTCAGGTCAAGGGGTCCTTCGGAGACGGAGGCAGGGGCCAGTGATGAAGACGGTGATAGGAGTATTGTGAAGGGACCAAGGTTACCAGGAGTCAACTGTCCAGAGAAAATAGTAAGGGGTTTTCTGTAGAGAGTGAAAGGTGAGAGAGAGAGAGAGAGAAAGAGAGAGAGAGGAATCGGGGAGCATGGTAGAGGCATTGGGTGGTATTCTCATAAGTTAAGCCGGGACTAAGTCCAGACTAAACAAGAATTTTAGTTCACACTTCTATGGAATGCTAGGTTTCATCTTCCTCCTTCAATATTTATGACAAAGATAATCTACCAAAGACTTTTTGGAAATTCAGTTCATACTCATATTATCTTTTTCTTCCCATTTCATTGCAAAATTAATTTTTTTGAGATTTTTCATTGAAGGATTAAAATAATCTGTACAGGATAAATGAGTTGACAACAGGCACTCCATAAAAGTGTGGACTAACTTAGTGCGCGCTAACTTAGTACGCGCTACCCGAATACCACCCATGATAAGTGGCCTACATTTAAGATAGAAAGAGATGTTCTGTCTAGATATTAAGAGGAGAGGGAAAGATAAGGGGAGGGAAGGAGCAACAAGAAGAGAGTGAAATAGGGGCAAGCGAGAGAGATGAACAAAAATGGAAGGGAAGTGGCAGGCCTATGAGAAGGGCCAAGCTCCCGGCTGTCAAGAGTTCAGAGAAAATATAGATTGTTTGTATATACAGGTCAAGAGGAGAGTGAGAGAGGGAGCAGAGGCTATGTGGGAGGAGGGAGCAAGAAGCGAAAAGAGCTTAAAGGGATATGTTTAACAATGTTATATCTGAGATGCACGGCCCTATGCGTTATCAGTGTCTGTGATATGCTGTTATATTGAAGCCCTAAAAAAATTGCACTTCAAAATATCAAGAAGTGCCTCAAAAAAGTAAAAACCTTGGGAGTGAGTGGTTTTACCATACTCGTTTTCCCCGTTTGGCAAACACAAAGTTTGATTTAGATTTTCAATCATAAATATCTTGATAATCTGACAGACGATCGGCTTGTAAAAGTCATGGTGTTCCTGATTAACCTAAAGGTCTATTAATTATCATTGCAGCATGAGCTAATTAAAGGATTTTTTTAAAGGATCTAAGGCAAAGTTACCGGATCCCTTTAAGATGAAGACAAAAGGAACAAGACAGAGCATTACAAAAGGAGAAAGGAAATGGAAAGACATGTTTCAACACACAATCCAACAGACATGTACAGTAGTTATACATTGGGAAGGAGTAAACTTGTGAACAGTTTAAAGCCCCACTGCAATACTTGTAGCTACTTGCTCCCTCTATATAGAAAACAATGCCTAAGCGGCGCCTGTTGGTCCCCCATGATCCTCTTTTCCTTATGTTGATAGAGAGCTGAGTTGGAGATAAAGACCTGTCAGTGACCATGATGGGTGGTCTAATCCTTCCTGGCCAAACTAGTGCAGACGGGCTTTAAAAGAGATGAAACTAATTTTAAGAGTGCTCTGGTAGTTGCAAATAATTTTGGAAGCACAGGGGAGTTATTTGTTAGTCCAGAGGATGGAAACTTGTTCTTAACAATGAGCTATCATGAGATTTAAATTACAAAAACACTTGAAATATCTACGTAATACCCTTTTGGGAATATATATCGTGGAATTATAAATATTCAAATGTGTTTTAAGAATGGAAATTAATTGAAATGTTTTATTCATCTCATCATAGATTATCTGTTTAGACCTTGCAAGTGAAGTCAACAGAGTGCCTTTTCTACAGAGAGATGGGTGAGTACAAACAAAGGAATAACGTCCTGGGCATTGTTCAACAAAACTGTCATAAGTACAAGTTTTCCGACATCCCTTTGAAACGTGTGTATTAAAAATGAATTGCTTCAATTTGGATGTCGGCAAAAGATTCATGAAATGCTGCCCTAATATTTTGAATTGTGTATACTTCATTAAAAAAACCATCATAAGTTGTTCACTATAAGGTCATATTTCACTACTTGAAATGAAACCAATACATGTATATCATTCATTTGAATAGAAAGGAAAAAGACAGATCACATCTAATTAATTTATGTATTCATAGAGTTCAAAAGGAAATAATTCTGAACTACATATACTGTACATGTTATACAATTATTCCCTCTTTCATTTTAACAGGACGAAACATCTACCCATTGAGCTGGTAAAACGGGCTCTGAGTATGTTTATACGAACCAAGAGTAACATCAACCCCAGACACCAATTCGCATTGGTGGTGCTACAGGAGAGTGCAGTATGGGTAAGTCTCCATTTATTGATCATTTTAAAAAAATGGCATTTTCAAAAATCAGACAGGTTGCACAATGTTGGTGCACTGAATTCTTTGTATTCTGTTCAAACTGTCATTGAATTATATAATTTGGTTGTAAACTTGTCATCAGTCATTGAATTATATAATTTGGTTGTAAATTTGTCATCACAGGCCTGATAAAAACCTGATTTAAATTTTCCAGATTTTTGTTTCTTTCTTCTTCCAGATTTTCCCCTAATTTTCTCTATTCTTCCCTCTTATTTCCCAATGTTTCTTACTCAAAAGGGGGCGAATATTGTTAGATGCCATTTTTACCCCCAAATCCTCCTCTTCTTTTTTTACTCAAGGGGGGCGTGGTTGAGGGGGGGAAAAATACTTTTTTTTAGTGCTCACTATCACCCCTACAACAGTTATTTCATGCAAGGCATCTTGGTAGTACAATGTCACTGTCAGAAAAACCCTGCTTTAGTAAGAAATTAAATAAGCACCAACATGTAAACCTGAACCTTTGTATGCCTTAAGAATAGTCAAGATTACATACATAACTTCATTCTCCTCCTCTTCATCCTGATTTTTGATTTTTATTTCTGCTTTCAAAAGCTGCAAGACTTCACGTCCGATGTGGAGGAGTTTCTCAACGTGATGTTTGATCTGACCAGTGAGACGCGGGATTGTGAGTCATGTGACCTGACGTCATTGTTTGAAACCATGTAAGTTGAGCAGTGGCTTTCAACATTTAAAACTCATTTGTGGTAGTGAATGGAAAGACACATCAGTGGCAGATGGGGGTGCAGAGATGACAACTGTTCCGTTTTTGCCGTATTTGTTCCGTTTTTTTTGTATGAATACGGCAGTACGTTTTTTGTATGTTTTGTTACCGTTTTTTTTTTTTTTTTTTTTTTTTTTTTTTTAGTGACGTTTTTCTTAATTTCTGATCATGGGCTTTGTGTCGTAAGTGTATTATGCACCTACATCTTCAATCAATGCACGCAGGATTGTGATACGGGCCCCAAACTGCGCACATTGCGAACAACCCACATGTAATGTATGCACGTCGCGCTCCGATCCGGGTACTTAAACGTGGTACTGCCGGGGTTTTTTAAGCTGCTCGATTGGGCGATATGTTAAGTTGAGAGATTTTTTTCAAAAATACTGTTTTTTGCTCTTAAGAATACTTTTTTTTGTTAAAGAAGGTTGGCATCTCTGGGGGTGGGGTTCAAAGGGGACACATGCTGTGTTCCCCCCCCCCCCACCTCAAAAAAAAAAAAGAAGATAATAATAGTAATAATAATAATAATAATAATAATAATGATAATAAAAAATATAATAAAATGAAATAAAATAAATAAATAAATAAATAAATGAATGAATGAAGGAAGAAAGGAAGGAATGAATGAATGAATAAATAAATAAATAAATAAATAAATAAATAAATAGATAGATAGATAAATAGATAGATAGATAGATAGATAGATAGATAGATAAAATAAAAACTTGAAAATGTGAAGGCAAAAATCAATTTTCTTTTCTGTGAAAGAGTGCAATATGAGCATGGTTGGACGCTCTTTAAGAATTTAAAGTTTGTTTCTGACTTGTAAAAATAGAATGCTCTTAAGAGGATCTACAAGAAAATGAAGTTGGGAAAAGCTCCTGTCGAGGAATCATGGTCTGGGCACAAAGTGATTGGCTAAGAACCCCAAATATGTGTGGTAACCAAGAATATCTATACCAGAAAATATATCTATATCTATGTCAATAAAGATGGAAAGTACACATAGAAAAATAGTTTTGACAACCAAAATTTCCCAGGAGTTGAGAAAATATGCCAAATGTTGGAAGTTGATTTCAATGTCAATAACCATTATCGTTATGTATTCAAATTTGTACACGTTTGGGTAGTGACGAACTGTTTCATTTAGCTGTTATGAGTTATGGCATTTCACTAATTAGAAAGCTCATTGCGTACATTAAAGGCATCGTTTAACAATCTTAAATCTGAGATGCATGGCCCTACGTGTTATCAGTGTCTGTGATATGCTGTACTATTGAAGCCCTTAAAAAATGGCGGTCCAAAATGATCACAAAGTACCTCAAAAAAGTAAAAGTCTTTGAGTGACCGGTTTTACCATACTCATTTTCCCAATAGACTGTGGTGTTATAAAAATTTATTAATTTTGATTTCCAATCATATATATCTTGATAATCAGACAGGCGATCGGCTTGTAAAGGTCATGGGGTTCCTGACTGACCTAAAGGTTGATAATTATGATTGTAGCATGAGCTAAATCCAGGATTTTGTTTAGAATCTGAGGCAAAGATACCCAATCCCTTTAAGTAGATGTGTCAGATGTAAGATGGAAAAGAAGACACTGCTTTACCATTGAGAAAATATTCTTCTTGGCATTTATAAAGGAATGACTGGAACTAGATTCTTAATGCTATCTTCTTCTCTTTACTACAGTGTACATAAAGTAGAATTGCCAGTGATTGAAGACATCGAGGTGTTGCCTCCTCCTTACATCGTCAGAACGCTGTTTTTCTATGGAAGGTCAGCTCTCATACCCGAGTTTGACAACGGCCGAGAGGTGAGTGCCGGTGTAACTGTTTTGTATATGTAGAAGCAGCCATATCTAGTTTTAGAAACCGCTCATTCATTGGCACACACACACACACACACACATATATAGGTATGTGTGTAGAGTCTGTGGGGTGGGGAATAGGAGACCAATGCATGTGACGCCATGAAGTGCTACTGTGCGGAGTGCATGGTGGCTTCCATATTTTGCAATAATGCCATATGACATTATAAAGCTTCAATTGAAATTATTTTAAGTAGATTGGTGAATAGATATTGAATACACTTGTATGCTTAAAGTTATAGACCAGTTCTGGTCATGCGATTGCATTGTGAAAGAAACTTTGTGGAATCAATCAGAAAAGGTTGATCATCTAGCATATAAGTATTGGTGTGTACTGCATGGTTCTGGAATCATCAAAATGATAAGAAATTTGGCCCAGTCTTGGTAAAGTTCGAGCACTGTACACAGAAGGATGTATATGGGACAATGCGATATCTGTCCAGGCCGGATAGATATGATAATTTACAAAATATATCAATTATTACCGTATTTGCCGGCGTAAAGGCCGCACCCCCGCATAGGCCGCACCCCCGATTTTGACATTTTAAAAAAAAAAAAAAAAAAAAAAAAAAAAAAAAAAAAAAAAAAAAAATCGTTTTTTTGTTGTTTTTTGTTGTTGTTGTTTTGCTGCCGAAAACCCACGCGTGGAAGGACCTTCATTTAACATCGAGGTGCAGTTAAAGGCGCTGATTTGTGCTTGTAAACTTGTCACAAATAATAGTAACAATGTCGTTTTTAGAAGAATGTGTAAGATCATTAATGTGAATTAAAAACAATAAAGTACCTATGGTACCAGTGGTGTACCTTGTGGTACACCATTTGTTATAGAAAATAATTTGAGGAACTATTATTATAAACTACATATTGAGATCTATTAGAAAGATTACTTTCAAACCAAGATGACAGTCAAATTTTAGTGTTGTTGTAGTTTCCGAGTGGTGAGTCAACACACTGATTACTGAGCTGGGAGACATTGCCAGGCATAGCGCCATAAATCGAAACTAAAAAAAAAAAAAAAAAAAAAAAAAAAAAAAAAAAAAAACTTTTTTTACTCTTTCGCCGCATAGGCCGCACCCCGACTTTTTGATATTTTCTCTTCCAAAAATACTGCGGCCTATACGCCGGCAAATACGGTAGGCGGTTTCCTGGCAAAATTTGTATCATCACGTATTAGTCAAAATATAATCTTTCACATGATTGGTAATGAGAGCTTCCATTTCATTTTTTGAGAGGGGGGCATTTCCAAACTGGTCTATACCTTTAATGACTCATGCTCTAGCAATTATTTCTTTGCAGTCAATTTTCTAACATTCATGGCAACTCTAGACTTAACCTATCTCAGCTAGGACAATCATAGAAATTTGGAAGTTTGAATGAGACTTAAAACAAAACCGTGAACGCTCATTTGTCCACCACATGCAGGTAATTTTATGACAGACTAACTTACTATGATTTATAAGCAAACCACTCTGTAAGATGTGTAAATGTTTTTTTTGTTTTTTTCCCCTGGTGTAGGCTCAAGTAGCGCTATCCGCCTCACCATATTTCTTCTTTGATGTGTTTTATCTTCATGAACCACCGTCCGAAGAAAACTGCTGCAAGGTAAATTTATTCAGAATCAGCTATACAGTCTTTGAGATTTGGTCCCATATCAAACAAGTATCCCATTTATTCTATTTCTGAGTTCCTTACACCATTGTCTTTTATCCAAAAAAACAAATCACATGAGCTTCTTTATGGTTAAACTATTAATTGTAAATTCTGTCATGGCCCTTTAATTTTGTAAATACTTGTTCTTGTGCAAGACTTTATGTGAAATTGTGGTCCTTTTCATAAAATTTGAAGCAGATTAAAGTTCCCTATCACCACCTTTTAACCAGTTAGGGCATAAATCTTGCTCCCATTTTGTAGGTGTTATAACATTTCAATTTGTTATAAGCACTTTAATACCTTATCAAGTTCCAGAGCAATCTATGTACAGAGTTTGGCCAACTCAGATTCCATGGTCAGTAGCATGTGCTCAATTAGTGGGCCCACAAAGAATCTGTAGTTGTGCACCATATAAGGTAGCTGCTGACTGAATGTGAGGTCCAAAACTGAGTTTATAGATGGCACTGCCAAGGTCTAGTCAGCACTGTCTTCATGTGCTGGCTTTGTGTAGTAGGTCATGTTCCAAATATACAGTTTTTAATTCCTACAATTTTTATTACAATAAAACCTGTAAAGACAAATTAAGCGAGATAAAGAAAAGGGGTCTTTATAGACAGTTGGTCATTATGTATTCATTCCATTATTATGCATTTCAATGAGAAACACTATTCAAGGAAAACCTACAATTAAACAAAAATTGTATTTTTAGATAGGTGGTCTTTCTGTACAGGGATTGCTAAGGCAGGGTTGAATGTATGTGATTGTGAGTGACCAATGATGTTGATTTGATACTTTTTTGGGGGTAATGTTTATACCTTTGCAGGATATCTATGATGTTTTCCTGGACCTTGACAAGAACAATACATCCTACATCCATGAGGTCGGACGAAACACAACCAATCTTTACAACAGGATGGCATCGCTGGTGGCTCACCCGCTTCAGAGACCTGAACAAGTGTTTGCTTTGTACTCCCTGGACACCGACAAATGAGAAAGACGTTTGGCAGCATGGTGTCTACAAAGGATTGAACCTGTTGCTTCCACCATGGATCATTAGTTGGTGTTCATCAGATATTTACAGGACATGGAACAATGATAAGACCTTTGGCAGCATGATGTCCAAGGATTGAACCTGATGCTTTTATCAGGGATCATCTAGCTGAAGACGTCAGTAGGTGTTCATATCATATTCCCTGAATATGGAACAATTGACAGGTCATTTTGCTGCATTGTGTGTAAAGGATTTTACCTGTTGCTTATGCCATGGATCACCTACAATGTACTTGAAGACCTCAGTAGTTGTTCACCTCATATTTTCTGGACACGTAACACGTAAGAATGATGGGTCATTTTCTTTTTGCATGGTGTCCTCAAGGATAGACATTGCTAGACTTCCCTAAGATACCTTCATGGTGGAGAAGATCATTGTGGTAAAGAGCAAGTAGCATCAAAGACTTAACTCCCATCTCGCTGCATAATCATGATGATGATGATGCTTCTTAAGGATTGTCCTTGAAGGCAGGTGCTACTTCCATGGATGATCTACCTGAAGACTTACGGTGTTCACCTCGTTTTCTGGACACAGAAAAATGATAGGTCAGACATTGTGCTGCATGGTACCCTGGAGGAGTAATTTGATACAGAAGACATTTTTACGATCATGATGGGAAGAGCAAGTAGCTCAGCTTAGGCCATCCTTTATGATGATGGTTTTTGAGGATTGTTCCTTGAAGGTAAAGACCAGTTTTGGAAACGCCCCCCTTTGAAAAAATGAAATTGAAGCTCTTATTACCAATCATGTAAAAGAATATGTTTTGACTAATTCGTAATCATACAAATTTTGCAGAGAAACCGCCTACTAATTGATATATTTGGTAAATTATTATATCTATTTGGACCTGATAGATATAATGCACGAGTCGCACACGTGTGCGTAGTCCCATATACATCCTTCTGTGTACAGTGCTTGTAACTTTACCAAGTCTGGGCCAAATTTCTTATCATTTTGATGATTCCAGAACCTTGCAGTACACACCAATACTTATATGCTAGCTGATCAACATTTTCTGATCGATTCCACAACGTTTCTTTCACAATGCAATCGCATGTCCATAACTGGCCTTTATCTTTAAAGGTAGTTACATTATTTCTGGGATTGTCTACCCGAAGACCACACAGCAAGTGTAAGCCTCATGATGTCACTGAGATAAAACCATCCTTACAAAGTTGCTGCACGGCTGGCAGAATGCCGTATTGTGTTTACCGGTAGCTGTTCTGCTAAACAAAGGATTTTCACTCTTGCAAGAAAAGTCATCAGCATTAAACTTCCTTTTACTTTAAAGATGATGGGTGGTATTCTCATAAGTTAAGCCGGGACTAAGTCCAGACTAAACAATAATTTTAGTTCACACTTCTATGGAATGCTAGGTTTCATCTTCCTCCTTCAATATTCATGACAAAGATAATCTACCAAAGACTTTGTTAAAATTCAGTTCATACTCATATTATCTTTTTCTTCCCATTTCATTGCAAAACTATTTTTTTGGACACTTTTCATTGAAGGATTAAAATAATCTGTACAGGGTAAATTAGTTTGCAACAGGCACTCCATAAAAGTGTGAACTAACTAAGTACGCGCTAACTTAGTACGCGCTACCGGAATACCACCCATAAGCTTTATCTGATACACAACTACTCAAATTTGGTAGTTACCATCCTTGTTTACTTCTGTATTAACTTGATAGAGAGAAAAATCCTTGTCATGTTTGAAAAATTGGTGCAACACGTAGAGGGCAATCAAACATTACAAGCCGGTTATCAGAAATTTGCTGTTTGGCAAAGAAGTGCTCTGAATGAAGTGTAATCTGATACATAAATGTATTATGGAAATCACCCACTATTTCCATATTGTGTTTTCATGCGTCAATAAATTAATGTACTTTACTTTCCTAAACTCCTTTTTTCTTGTTTCTATCCGTACATACAATCAGACTGTTGCGTAATTTGTAGTTCTATATTTCCTTTTTTCTCTACATGATTATGCTAGCCAATGAAAAACGGTGAATAATGTTTAGGTTGTGTAATGATATCTGAGCAAGTCCACCTTATTTTGTTTGATACTAAACTCATCTAAATATTAGTATACTTGATGATTCTATCAAGTTGAGCTTGCATCAGACCAAATAACAAGGAAAATGATACAGTGTACTTTCTTCAATGTTCGTTTTTGTTTTGTTCTCTCTATTCTTGGTAAGGTTTGGGATAGCCAATGACCAAATACAGAGGAAACTCAGTATAACGAGGTCGTTGGGACCATGGAAATCACCTTGTTATATCAGGGTAAGAAAACAAAGAGCTGGGACCAGTAAAAGTAGCATGTTATAGCAGATACCTTGCTATATTAGAGCCCTTTACACTGTACTTTGGATTTTCTCATCTATGCCTTTATAAAGTATTATGGTGATCTAAGCAAATTTATAATAAAACTGAAATAGAATTGAAATGTAAATTGAATAGTTTGTCGACACTTCTTAGAACAATGTTTTTTTGACAGCAGAGAATACGAGGCAAACACCAAATTGGGTATTGATGATCTGTGAAAGAAACAACTTCTCCAATTACATTCTTCAGGATTGTACAGGTACACTTAATACACGGCTACCTGAGCAGATGTTCACCTCATATTCTCTGGACCCTGAAAAAATGATTGTTTGTGTTCTGGACACTACACAGAATGTCATTTTGACTCAACTAATGAAGGGCACTAATTTTTCTTTGCAAAAAGCAATTTCTACAGTAGTTTGATTTATGTATTTAATGGCAAAGTACTCTTTTTACTCTAGGTCTATTTCCATGTTACATACTCGCCTTTTAATTGCAAGGATGACATGTTTGATGAAATGAAAATTTTAATAGGACAGAGCAGTCTCAGTAATCGGGATGTTTTAAATAAAGAAAAAAATTGAATATATTACAGATTTAGAGGTCTATTAGTGCTCAATAAACAAGAAGTTAAAAGTGAGCAGATTTCCCCCGGACTGCCTTTCCCATCTTATGAAGAGCAGAGGCAGTGCTACCTGTAGGCAAGGTGGCAGAGTGCCCCCAAAAGTACCCCCAAGAAGTGCCTCTTATTTAATCTGATCAGTGCCCCTTTTTAAAAATGTTGAGTGATTTTTTTTTATTCCTAAATACCGATAATAAAGGGCACTTATCGGATGAGAAAAAGACACCAGATATGAAAAGGGGCCCATAAGGGGGTTCTTGAAAATAGGGTGCAGTGTAGCACTGCCTCTGTCATTCACAAGATGGGGGGGGGGGGGGCTGTCCTTGGGGTAACTTTTGAAGGGTAATTGTACAGGGTGGGATGGGGGGAGGGGGGGGGGGGGTAGTAAACCAGGGTTGGGGTATTTGACCGGGAGGGGATACAGGTACATGTACTTCCAAAAGAAAGAACAGGCGGAAAATGTTAATGCTGCATCATCAATGATCACAATACCATTTATTATGAAAACAAAAGAACAGTTCATATATTTTCTCTTTTCAGGCAAGGAGCCTGCCATGAAATAGTGGCCCCATTTCACCCATAAGATTTAATCCCTCAAAGTTACTAAAGACAATTAACAAATTGGTCATCAGTCCAACCATAGCAGTGGGGTTCAACCCCCAAAGCCCCAAAACAGACCCAACTTTGGCATCTGTTTCAGGGGCTCTGGGGGCTAAACTCTACAGCTACTGGTCTAAGAAACTTTGAGGGGTCGAATCTTATGGGTGAAATGGGGCGACTATATTTTGGGACAAGTTCCCAGACTAACATAAAATTTTATTCATGAATGAATCAGAACAATGCAGCTTGTTCAATAGATAACCTCTCAGCGATTGGTAGACAAATTTAAAAAAAGAAGAAAAACTAACATAAATACCTACATAAAATTATTCTCCTGCAATCACAACACAGAAAATAAAATGAAATATCGGTCAAGTGAGACCCAACAGAATTTCTAGTTCTAAAACACAAGAAAATACCATGAATTATGGGGAATATATGTATCACAAATTTAGAGTCCTTTTTCTGAAGTTAAAATGGTACACTAAAATGTAAACCTTTGTGATAAGATCATTAAAAAGGTCATCACAGATCTGTAATTCAATAAAGAACAATCACGCATAAAAAAATTGGACAATTGCAGAAGACAAAAATCTGAATGGGATGCATAACGAAAAAGGCGCATACATTACTCCCATCTTCTTAATGTAGAAATGATACATTAATGAGAGTTGCAGTGATCACTATCCCAACAGTACAAAAAATCACTGGTTAAGAGGTTATCATCCTCTGGAGAGAAAGCAAAGTGCCAGAAATTACATGATTCATATAACATGGAAAAATTGCCATGACAATAAATGTGATAATAATTTAACAAGTATTGCTCTTTCAGAAAAAAAGAAAATAAGTGATGTAAACTTCCAAATCCCCAATAAAGACCAATAAAATGTCCCCCGATGCGATGATGCCATTTACCATTATTCCATACAAAGAAACATCTTTTTTAATAGTATCACTGTAGAAATGGACCATCATAATATCCAATCAGTCATTTTGATATCTTAAATGAACATATTTCTCATCAATCCTACAGCCTATAATCCCATATTTCACACAGGAAATTTGAAATTTGGATGCATCTGAATGATCTGTACCAGTTATAAAAGAATTGAGAATAATCTGTAACAGGTATAAAAGAACTGAGAATATTTTTTGTTCGTGTTATTAGAGGGTAACAACTTCTTGAGCAAGAACGTCACAAAGTTTACAAATCATACGTCCCACCTCTAGAGCAACATGGACACTTGCGGTCCATTCCCAGCATCGACATCAAAAACCCAGACTTACTTACAATGAAGGAACCTACCACTGAATATTAGTACTTGGTTCTGTAAGAAAATATTTTGAAGTTGATAAAATATTTCGAAGTTTGCTATACAAAAGTAGGTTGAATGTAAATGAAGTGCACTCCCCTCACCCCCTCCCCAAAACCGTCTAACTTTCCCCCTCCCACATGTTCAATCATGATAAACCAAGGAATAATTAATCTTTGCGCAAGAATCTCCCTTTGATGTATGAAAGTCTCTTTTTAGTCCAAGGATCATTTTACAATTCATCCCTTTGCAATTCCTCTTCCTCTTCTTCCTCCTCCTCCTCTTCAAAATCACCCATGTCCAGATCTAAATCATCCATATCCAAGTCTTCGTCGTCTTCATCACCTTCTTCATCATCGCCTCCCTCTTCTTTCCTCCTCTTATCCTCCTCCTCTCGCTGTTTCCTCTCCTCCGCATCTTGCTCATCTTTCATTTTCTTTTCTGCTACCTGCAATGTCAAAGATACCGGATCAAAAAGAGGGTTACAAAAGTCTGGCGTTCCAACATTTAAGACCAAACACTTGCAAATTGGAAGGGACAGGTGTCTATTTATGTGATCCGACCTTTGTCCGCTCTGGACCTTTATTACATTAAAAATATAGGGTCAGGCTTTGGGATGAAATAGGGTGTTAGGATAGGTTTAGGGTAGAAGAGTTGTACAATACTGATTTGATGTCTCCTTTAAATCTTTTGGGATATCTTTTGAACTATAATTGCTATACAGGAGCAGGAAAGCAGTACATCATGCCATTCATGAATAGGAAGCATTTGATCATAAATAATCATCAATGACACTACATTGGCAACACAATGTGAAAATTAATAATTACTCTTTTCACATATAAACAGGCAATCTTAAATTCACATTGGTTCATTTAATATACATTTTTTATAACAACCAAGAAGAAATGAAAATGAGAATTATGAAATGAAGGAAAACTCCTAAATGTTAAGGGTTAATAGATTCATTTCATTCACATAATATTTACCTTTGTGACTTCAAATAAATCCTTTGCTTGTTTCTCTGCTTCTTCAAGATCGTCTGTTATAAGAACGTTGTCAAAAATCGTCCCAGATTTAACCTGTGGGGGAGAAAGCATCACAAGCGATACAAGTTACCATCTCTTAGACATCTCTACTAGAATCTTGAGAGACTTACAAAGATAACGCTGAGTTCTGTTTGTGGGACTGCATTGTTAAAGACACTGTCTGGAAGCAATTTTGAAAATTTTAATGTCATAGCCATTGTTAATAAAAATTGAGTCCTGTATACTGCGAGATTCGGATTCACCAAAGTGATAAGAGACATATTCAGTCTTGCTGTAAGTCACATGTATTGTACAGTATACACGGAAATGTGTATATGGGATTAAGCATACACGTGGCGTGAAAGTGTGCAACAAACGGAATTGATTCAACAAAATCGGTGTTAAAATTGACGCAATGGCATTTGTATGTAAGGAAAAATATAAACAAATATCAAATGAAATGGAACCCCCCTCCTTACTTTCAAAACTAGGAAAATGAGGAACACACTATACTTGGCCTTAGACTCAGTTTGTGAAGGTCAAGGGCACCTAATAAAGCCTGCTTTACACATTCGATTGATTTCTTCGGAATCGAGGGGGGTGTTTGCAAATCATCATTCATCATAAAAACGGACCTTTTATCGTCAGTTAATTATAATAATAATAATAGGCATTTCTATAGCAGGGTCTATCTAGATAATTCTATTCCGAGGCGCATTTATTATTGCTCCGGCTTTAGCCTAGCTGCCGTTTTATACAGCGCTCCAGCATTTCAAGGAATTAAATCCTGCCAGGTACCCATTTATATCACCTGGGTTGAGTGTGGCAAGAAGGGTGTGTCGAATGATAATAGGACTCGACTCCCTTCTGGCATTCAACAGACGAAATGAAACAACGTATGGGTGAGGAGACATCATTTTGACTAACCTGCCATAAATCAAAGCCAATAGCTCCAAAGCTTGGGTAGCTGTAAAGGTTTTCATCGGCTTCATACTCAGGGTTCTCAATCTCTGGATGTACCCATTTTCCGCTGTAGTTGGGGTTCTCAATTTTCTTAGGTGCCCATTCTCCCTGTGGGATTTAAAAAAGAAAAACATACATTATATTGCGATCATCGAGAATAGATGGATAGATTAAGAAAATGTGAATTCAAAACTCGTCAACATGCATAAACAGAAATAAATAGCCAGCTACGTGACGACTAATAATTTGTTTTATAAAATGGCTCTAGTATTTTAAGCATCGTGATTGGTCAATACGGGTCACATGACATGTACAAATTTTTGATGCAAGCACGATTTTGCAGAAAAAAGCGCAAAAAAAGTTATAATACACGTTACCATGGATATCCAGCGCGCGCGCGTAAGTGTAGTACGCGCTCCCTCAAATTTTTTTTTTTTTTTTAGCAGATGTTTCTGCATTTATTGATAAATCAAATATAAAACATTCAAATAACAATAATAGTTTATAATATAATTGATTTACATCAAGAGTGACAACTTAATACACACAAAATAAAATATTTAAAAAAAAAAAAATACATAATTGAAAGCTTGAAAGTATGGAGGTAAGTAAAAATAATCAAGATAAATGCAGAGGCCAACTATCATAAGCAAAGAAGCTTGAGGCGATAGCAGCCGGGAAGGGGGGGGGGGGGTACATGGCGCTGTTTTTAGGAGAATGTAGGGGAATAGAGAGTCACATATAAAGATTTTGTTCAGAAAGTATCTGAATAAAAAGTGGAAAGAAATTAAGAAAAAAGAAAAAAGAAGAAAAATGTGCAAGTGTGTGCAAGTGGGTGTGTGCAGGTGAAGTAAGTGTTCGATTCGTATTGTTAATGAACTGGTCATCTAAAATTAATTTAAATAAACAATCAAAACCTCTGAGACCCTTATGATGTTTTTGAATAATATGTAGATATTAAATATTTTTTCATCGATGCTTTGAATGAATAAAGAGTTTCAGAGTGTTTAATATTGTCAGGTAAAGCATTCCAAATGTCTGGACCATGATGTCTTATCGATTTATAGGCCATAATAATTTTGGGGTTTGTTAAGTGGAAATCGGATGAGTGTCGTGTGGGATAAGAATGTATATCACTATTGTAAACAAAAATATTTCGAAATGCCAAAGGTATAGTATTTATCCAACATTTATACATAAAGATTGCAGTTTGAAAACTGTGAATGTCAGCGGTTTTTAATGTTTTTAGTTTACAAAATGTTGGATCAGTATGGGCTAAATAATGTGAATGTGTACAAAGACGAAGTGCTTTCTTTTGGAGACGATATATTAACATAAATGCATTGCAATTATTGTAGGCTACGCGTAGCTAATATTGTACGCTCCACCATGATCCCCAGGGCAGCGTATGCATAGCTTAGCTCTAGCTAAGAGCTTAGAGCAGGGTATTATTAAAAAGCAAATTTCATTTTACTTTTGCCTTGGATTTAGGCCTGTTTTGACTTTTGGATTTTATAATGAAGCCAGGAATTTCAGCTGTCTGATGTATACTCGTCTCTAGACCCACTGTATGGATTTTATTTTTAATCAAGGCAATGAATCCCATTGACTTTTGGTAAGCCTGCAAGGTCTTAGTCTAGAACCAACATAACTCTAGATCGAACTCTCGTAGACTCTAACTTAAGATCTAAAGTTTCGTTTGTTGCTATTTGTGTCGCTATTTTATAAAACAAATAACGCACATCCCAGAGTGCAATAACGGTGAATGCAGTACACGCGAGGTTTCTTTAGATTGGTGCCGCTCTGTGAACGAGCCGCTTGCAGTGCGTTTACAGTGCGCACCATCTGAAGAAACCGAGCGCTTTTAGATTTGTTTTATGACAATTACAAACCTACCAACCTTCCACAGCAATCTCCTAAGCCGAAAAAAGGAATACAGTGTGTTTTAAATGCTTTACTACAGATGTGAAAGGAATATAAGGTTCCTAACACTAGTTTCAAGTCAGAAAACATAGGGAGTCGTTCCTCCATAATATGAACCGTTGGCAGCTATTCAGGTAACATACTGTACTTCTCATTGACATTAAAGATAACATCAGAATACCACACAAGGCTTAATTAAACCTCTCTTGGCTCCAGAATAATGTTTGACTGTGCCTTGTGAGAGGTACTCACTGACCTTGTATTCTGGGTTGTTGATCATTGGTGGTTCCCATTCTCCATCCATCTCATCATCCCAATCCTCTGGCTTCTCTGCGTCAGGGTCGGCAATGAATTCGGCCACTTCCCAATCCTACACAAAATTAAAAATATATATATATTGGCGGTCTTTATGTAGAGGTGTTGTTGTGGGTTGTACAACACATGCTTCAGGGATAATTATTCCATAGTCAATAAACAAATTCTCATCTTCAACTCTGGTCTGAATGTTATCCCTAACCCTACCCCTATTTCTATATAACAAAATAAGGCCAGGGGAAATGTCGCAGTCAATTGTAAAATCAAACATACAACATTGCATTGGTATTATCCAAGATCCAGTGATAATTGCTCCACAGTAAATGTCCTACACTTATTGATTTCTCAACTTTATCTAATGCTAACCTAAATCCCAATCGCAACCTTAATTCAGGGCTAGACAGGAGCCCGATGTACATGGTGCCCCTAATCCAAACTCCAGACCCCCACAATTTCAATATTCCAAACTGGGCCCTCTTTCATACAACTGCCACACATCTATGACAAATGTACTCACAGTCAATCAAATACCACACTATCAGTAGCTTTTACCAGTTATTGTCACTTGTTATTGATAATAGCTTTTATGAAACAGGGCCACGGCCCCATACAAACAAGCCTTTACACATTTCAATCTGGACCCCCTATGAAAGAGAGGAGCTCATATCCCAAAAGAAAACATCAGCGGCCCATTTCACAAACCTTTTTTTCAATGACAAATGACAAAAATCAGTAACAAATCTGCTGATAACCACTCAGAAGCAAGGATTTTGATAGCTTATAAAATAAACTGTCATTTGTTACTGATGACAAGTTTTGTGAAATGGGGCCCAGGTCATTGATACAGCATTGCCTCTTCAGAACAAGCAACCCCTGAACCTACCTCTGGTTTGGTGTCTTCTGGATCGTCGATCCTCTCGTTGTCGTCCCAGTCCTCTGGCTTCTTAGCTTCAGGATCCCTGATCATCTTGGATGGAAGGAAGTCCCAGTCCTCCTCCAGGTTGCCGGCTTGAGCCTTCTCGTTGTCGATGCGGACCTCATACGAGTTGTCAGATTTGACGATCAGGGTGTAGAGATGGGTGAATTCATCATCCTGTAGTGAAAGATGAAGAAGGACATTCACTTAGGAATTAAAGTTCTTCTCGTCATTAAAGGTAAAGTCCAGTTTTGGAAACGCCCCCCCTCTCAAAAAATGAAATGGAAGCTCTTATTACCAATCATGTAAAAAAATATGTTTTGAGTAATACGTGATCATACAAATTTTGCCGGGAAACCGCCTACTAATTGATATATTTGGTAAATTATTATATTTATTTGGACCTGATAGATATCGCACACGTGTCACACACGTGTAGTCCCATATATATCTTCCTGTGTACAGACAGTGCTTGTAACTTTACCAAGACTGGGCCAAATTTCTTATCATTTCGATGATTCCAGAACCTTGCAGTACACACCAATACTTATATGCTAGATGATCAACCTTTTCTGATCGATTCCACAACGTTTTTTTCACAATGCAATCGCATGACCAGAACTGATCTTTCATTTAATGTTTGGGTGGGAAGCAGGTACATGGTCTATTCCACATGGGTGGTAATGGACCAACAAAATCAGTTTGCTGTGGCATGGATTTCTGTATGTTCCATACTTGGATACGTCACTGGCCTGCTCACATGGGGGATAGATTAAAAAAAAAATACCACTGTAATGCTCAAACATCAAACGAATGCTACTATGAAGCACCATTAGATGTAGATGTTCTCAAATTTGTGTTAAACTCGAAAGGAAAGAAACTTTGTCATTTTCTGGCCTGAGGGATTGCCCGATTCGGTTTTGAAACCTGCAATATCCTTGAATTAGAACACCAATTTTACCATGGACATTGCACGCCCTTATTTTTATATGTGTTTTGCCATCGAAGCTAGGTCCACTTATAAATGACCAAGAATCACCAATTCACAATGAAATGTAATCATCTTTGGTCAAGGTTAGCATAATTAAGCATTATCAGAAAGCTATCAGAAAGCATTTTTCTCAGCAGGATTTGCTCAGCCCCGAAAGATGGTTGATTAAGGTGAAGTTGTTAATGGGAACTAGAAGTTAGCACAAGTGCTAGTCGAGCCTAGTTCCATTCTTTGGCAAGATTTTTTTCTGTTAATTTGTTTTTACATATGAATGTAAAACTTGTTTGTTTTGTATTTACATATATACAACAAAATAATACAATATCATGTAACTTTTTTTTTCTTTACTAAAATGAAAAAATGAATTAATGCCATTTTATCATTACACATCTGTTGAAATCATAAAATGAAGGATATGTTAATGATTAAGTATATGTTAATGATAAACCAATGTAAATTAACATACTGGTGAGAGCCAAAAGGACATAAACTCAGCATGTTAGTAGAGGAGTTAACACCCTTCTGACTCTCATCATAATCTGTTAATGATCAACTAATGTAACTTGACATGCCGTCTGTTGCATGGCAGAAGGGCATAAGTCTAAGTTACAGCATGACTCTCTATTAAAGGTAATACAAAGTTTTGGTATGGGGTCATGAATTTGGTTCAAACGAACATATTGGAAGCATATGTGATCCTACAATATTCAGTGATCGTTTCCGCAGTTGAAATCGAGTTTAAAGTTATGAAATTCTAAATAATAAACTTTTTATGTTGTATAGCTCCCTCTCAAGGTCAATATATTGGAAATTATATATCACAACTACATGGCCGCAGCCACCATTGTACTGCCGTAGGCGCTATTTGAAATTTATCAAAATTTACCGGGAGCACCGGTAAATTTTTATACTCAATTTTTCTCGAAAGCAGAAGTGTTTTAGGGGCTAAATTTTCTAGTGCTTTTAATACATTGACAGGGGCATCCAAATATATGAAAAATTGTAAAGAATCACTATCTACCAAATTTTCAAAATCCCCCAAAACTTTGTTTTACCTTTAAGTGTATATTTTTTTAACGCTCTATTGACTCTCAGCATAATCTGTGACCAACTAACACTATGAATATGACTGACAAAGAAAGCGGACAAAATATACAGTTCCTCAGGTAGACAAAGGAACATCCCTTCACTGCTATTATGTAAAAATGTGTAGAACAGGTGTCACATGCATATTCACCTGTTCTACACATTTTTACATAATAGCAGTGAAGGGATGTTCCTTTATCTACCTGAGGAACTGTATATTTTGTCCGCTTTCTTTGTCAGTCATATTCATAGTGTTAGTTGGTCACAGATTATGCTGAGAGTCAATAGAGCGTTAGTTAAGGGTTAAGTGTCCTTTGTGCTCCCAGCAAACGATGCATTAATGAACGTCTGAGCTGAAGGTATACTGACCTTGCATCGGATGTCCTTCTTGATGAGAAGGTTCTTGCCCTTGTAGTTGAAGATCACATGAACTTTCTTAGTGCCAGGTCCACAGATATCAGGCCCTGTTTATTCAAGAGAAAAAAACACAAATATTAGTCAAACACAGTCAATAATTTGTCAAGTTGTGATCTATTTGAAAATGCGTCGCTGTAATCGATTTAACAAGGATAGCAGTACTACTCTCCAGTGACATCCTGTTTCAATGAAATGAAAATGATACATAAAATATGATACATATCAATATGTTCTGTATTAAACATTTTGCTTTATATGTTCATAATTATTCAGGGCCCCATGGAAGACCACTTCTTATTGGTGAATGGGCTACCCAAACAAAAGATTAGAAATAAATGAATAGATAAAAATATGTCCATCATTAGGAACAAAGTTTTAAAGAAAAATTGCTTCTGTTTGTTCATTCATAACAAATCTATTAAGAATTGGCTCTGTAATAAGTGCTAAAAAATATATAAATTGAGCTACTGTAATGTTGCCCAAGTACAAGCTGGATTCCTGAAAGCCTATGACTGCTATTGAGGATGTACTGCAGATGAGGAAATTGGAGATTACCAAGATGTGATTTCCTGCCTAAGGTTACTGTAGCCCCCACCCCACCCTCATCTTTCTTTCCACTTAACCGACCAGGAACCAGTAAAAAGTCAATGAGGAAGGACCACATAAATTTTCAGGCCAAAGGTTAACGCTCTACCAGTCAGCTGCATTTCTCTTTCTTCTGTTAGGTTTGGGACATTGCTCTTATGTAATTCCTTTGATATTTCCTTATGTTACCCAGATTCAAGAATTAATTGATGTAAAAGTCTATGTAACAGACAACACAATTGAACCCAATGGTAAGTTAATCTTGATAACTGGACATTAACCTAACATACAGCGCATTCCTAGTCACAAGCTTACACTCCAAATGTAGCATCAGAAACTTGTGTGTGCACAAACTGTAAACAAACTTTGCTAGGGAATAAGATTCAGGACAGTTTCATTGCATAACATGATCCAATCACAAGCGACACAGCACGGAATACTTGAAAATTGTTCCTAGTATCATCACAAAGGATTCTGGGTTTACAATTTGTCTTTAAGGCAAAAGTCCGAGCACAGAAAACGAGCTGAATTGGAGATTAGCATAATTAAGCATAAACAGATGTTATCAGAAAGCATTTTTCTCAGCAGGATTTGCTCAGCCCCGAAAGATGGTTTGGTTAATGCCATTTCATCATTACACATCTGTTAGACACCAAATAAAGGATATGTTAATAACCAACCAATCTAAATCAACATATTGGTGAGAGCCACGAGGCATTATCTCATCAGTGTCCTGCCCTGAAGTAACCTTATTTTTTTGTAATTCACAAATTATTCTGGGTTTACAATATGTCACCATGGCAAAAGTCAGAGCAGAAAACGAAATGCTAAATTGGCCTTACCAAACATGATGTTGTAAGGAGAATCGCCATGCATATCTTCCTGGTCCAAGTCGGCAGGGAAGATCTTGGCGTAGCCACCTCCGCAGTCTATCTTCTGCTCGTGCTTCACGGTGAACTGAATGACGAGATCCTTGCCCTCATTGCTGAAGTCTGTGAACTTTGCAGAGAGGCCGTAGAACTTTGCATCCTGGCTGGTCTGGATACCTGCAGATTGATTAAAGATAAGGGTGACTTCTTGGCATGCGGTAATATTAAGGCTGTGCACAACAGTGTAATGAGGTACCCGAGTACACTCTCAGGCTCACAAGCGAATACTCGAATATTCGGACGCCATGTTTTTTTTGAATTTTTTTGAATTTTTTTGAATTTTTTTGATTTTTTTTAAATTTTTTTGATTTTTTTTTAATTTTTTGATTTTTTGACTTTTTTTTTCTTTTTTGACTTTTTTTGCCACTACCATACCACTCGGCAGTTTCCCAGGTCCCTCGCTGAAAACGCATGCAATTTTACGTTGAGTTGCAGTTGAAGACGCCGATTTAATAAGAATAATAACAGTAAACAATACTGTTTTAAAAACCAAAGATGGCAGAATAATCCATTTTCCTCCAAGTCCAAACAGAAATCTGGACATTTGGTCCCAGTTTCTGAAAGGTGAGTTTGACAGTGCTTGAGTTGGGAAACATTTTTATCGACGGTACCATGCCAGCGGCGGCCGCTCTCCCTGGCACGGGTAAGCGTGGGCCTGGACATTTTTTTTTTTTTGCGGCCGAATATTCGGGTACGAGAAATCGTACTCGAGTAGTTGTCAACCGTGCAGGTACTCGAGCATTCGACTACCCGTCGCAGCCTTAGGTAATATCGTGAATAAAATTGTCTGGAAACAACTTTGAACGGGCGATGTGTAGAACACATGAATCAGTGTTTACGGTGAGGATTTGGAATCATTAATTAGAATGACAATTTTTATGACTGAAAATTGCACGCCCTTATTATGTGTATGTACCATCAAAACTAGGTCCAGTTAAAAATGAACAAGAATCACTTTACACTAATTTACAAATGAAATATAATCATCTGTGGTCAAGATTAGCATTATTTAGCATACCGGTAAACAGATGTTATCAGAAAGCATTTTTCTCAGCAGGATTTGCTCAGCCCCGAAAGATGGTTTGGTTAATGCCATTTCATCATTACACATCTATTGAACACAACATTTAGACTATGCTAATGATTAACCAATGTAAATTAACATATTGATGAGAGAAAAAAAGCAGTGTTTTTGTTTTATGTGTGAAAGGCCCTATGCATATTGACTTAGCTCTGTATCATAAGATACAGAAATGAGATGTGTATTACATTTTACATCATGAAAAAATGCTTTGATGTTGCAGCATCATGTTTGAACAAGGCCTTAAGCTTACCCTTATCCTGCTCAGCATCTCCATAGAATTTTCCAGCGCTCCACTTGAACTTTCCAGCATCACTGCCTTTGTGTACAGACTCTACCCAGCGAGATTCCCAACTAGCTGCAAGAGAAAAGGATGGAAAAACAAAATAAATTAATAGCACTTTAGATTTATATTTGACAAATCTCAACATTTAAAGAGTAGAGTAAAGGAGCCGGTTTTCGGCCACTTAAGACAAAATCCTATTTTTTGGACCCTTTACTTCCTATTTATTATCATTTTTTGTTCAAATCATGAAGCAAATATTATTATTTTAAAAAAACAAGAGTCCCAGAAAAAAATCACGAATTGCCATGACAATATTCATTTCAATTTTCACTGTTTCGGAGTCAGTTTTCGGCCGCATGTACAAAGTCAATAGGAAGCGCACGCACGCGCCGTGCGTTTCCGCGCTGATCTATAGCACTAGCGGGCGGAGCAGATATCCCACGCCGGAGCTCGCCAGGCCGAAAACTAGTACTGCGGTGATCGGATATTGGAATCTGAATTAGACAGAGATATCGTGTGTGCGTTGCGATGTGCGGCTGCATTGATTTAATACATGCGATGAAATACTTTTGAGCTTGCGACTAGCACAAAATCGGGCTCTAAATCCGAAATATACTTGAAATAAAGCTCATTTTATGGTACCCATATTTCTTACAGACACGTGTAAGATAGAATCTACTCGATTTTTCAGATTCGGGTAGCGGGACCGCCGATAACATCCCTAAAATGTGATATTTTAGGATATATTTTTCATTGCAAATGTGGTTCTTCAGTGACACTGGCATGGTATGGTATGTGTGGGATATGTGTTATGCTATTATGCGATGTATTTTACCTTGCATCCAACCAATCGGCCGAAAACTGGAGCTGGCCGATTACCGGCTCCTTTACTCTATTTTTTTAGAAGGGGGAAGCTGAAAAGTCAGTGCTAGTGCACATTGTCACTTCACTGGTACAAGTTGTAGTGTGAAATAACGACATCTACCTTCCCCATGCCATCCACAGTAGGGGCCCTAGTCCGAGATTAAGGATCATCCACATTTTCGTGGACGTCTTTTTTCTTCGGCGCTCTGCGGGTGTAGGGTTACCGATCCATGCTAGCAATGCTAAAAACGGATTTCGCGTTAACAATAGCCCCAGTTTACCGTCTACTTTTACCAGTTGTCCGTCTTCCTTAGGATTAATCATTAATCAAAGTCTCTGTGCTGCATCATGGAGCATCATCGCGGAATCTGTTTTTCGCATCGCCAGGAGCGGATCAATTCGAAACCAAGTCGAAACCAAGTCGATGCGCTAGCGCCCTTTGCCACAGGGTTTGGTAAGGCATTAATCCTCATTACCAGTCCGCAAAAATGCGGACGATCCTTTTTTTTTAGGACGCGATTTGTCCGCTTTTACGAAGATATCCTCATTTAGACCTATGTGGAAGATCCTGACCAGCGCCCCTACTGATACTCAAAATGATCTTGCACTACGCACAAGGCCAAGGGGTAGATTAACTACTTAAACTAGATCTAGCTGATTTTTCGAAGATTCAAGCTCAAATTTTGCCCTCAAATTTTCTTAAATCCAGACAGATCAACACTGCTGCGACTGCAAAGCAAACTTTCTAACTTTAACTTATTCTAGATCTAGAATCTACTAACAGTTAGTACAAGTACAACAAGAACAGACAAACACATACACGATTTCGCTCGATATCAATTTATCATCACTTCACTTCAGTACAACTTGTAATCTACAGTCTAACTTGTTAGTAGTAAAAGCACAGTCAGTACGGCACTCAGCAGACACACGCTACGGAACGGTACGGGAGTGGGATGGGCAACTCCCCGAGATCCAGGGCAAGAACTTACCGTCGGCGAATTGGTCCTCGAAATATACTTCTGCATTCGTAAATGCAACAAGCATCAAGCACAAGCAGGCTAAAATTGTCCTCATTTTGAAGCTGTAATAGTATTATATCAATAGATATGATATGACTGTGTGCCGCTGGAAAGGAACAGAGAAAATGAGACGATTTCAGGGTGATTCGCACCTCTCTCGGCAATGTGTTTTGGTGGTAGACGTACACGTGAAACTGTGGCCAAATGTCGAGCTGTGATTGGTTAACTAGAGAGGAGGGTCAAGTATTGGCCAATCACAGCGGACCACGCAGCGACGATAGTTCGTGACCCAGATGCGGAAGTCAATCATCAATCCAATGAAATCACTACAGCACGTATGACATGTGGCAGAATCATAGAGCAGATAAGACAGATAAAGCTTTTTTTTAATTTCATGCCACTAGTAAAATTATGGATTCCTCGGCGACAGAAATAGCACTATTTCTGACACCTCGATCCATAATTTCAACTAGAGCCTATCAGTGCATAGTTTACAGAAGTGAAATACCGTATACATTTGTTTTGCAATTGTAGAAAAGTGACTTCATTGTGGAAAAAAGCTGTCTGAAATAATCATTTTAATCAGTATTCTTATGTTTACAATTTTATATTGTTAGATGTAGGTTCCAACAGTGTAAATGTAGAATACAGCCTTTTAAATGTCTTAGCAGGATAGCATTTCAAGAAAGAAGCTGGTTGATCCATAGTATTTTGTATTTAGGTAAAATACTATGTGGTTATTGTTCGCAAATTAGATAAGATATTTATTCGTCTACAATTCAAAACAAATTATGGCAATGATAAAAGCAAAGTGAACTAAAAGCTAGTAGTATATGTTTCATACTTTGTATGAGAGGTGTGTTTGTTTACAGGTTGTTATATATACCATTGCTAGTTTTTAGCGTTTGAACAATAGTTTAACGATTTCCTAACAACAACAGAAATTATCAGTACCGGAACCACGCACTTTATTCAAGTGAATGAAATTGAAAATACGGCAAATCAAATTTTAATAATTTCTGAGTATACCCTTGGACCTACTACATGGTATACCGCTACTTTTCATCGACCGTCTCTCTCTCTCTCTCTCTCTCTCTCTCTCTCTCTCTCTTTCTATCTTTAGTTTGAACTCTCCGGCCCGAATTCACAAAGCAAGGTTTGAGCTCAGACCAAGGTTTGAGCTCAAACCTCCTTTTGTTTCGCCAAACCTCCTTTTGTTATTTATAAACCTGGTTTGGAATATTGTTCACATTTCCCCTGGACATTTCCGTGCTGTTTTGTTGCTTGAGTACGTTCTCTTTAGTTCAGTGTTTGTTTGTTTTGTTCACTGGGTTTTTCTTTCTTTTTTTCTTCACCAAATTTAACCTACTAAAACGCATTGGGGCATTGTTCTATATATCGCTTAATACTGTTTAATTATTTTTTTTTTTCTATATGGTTTCCTAATTTTGATTTCTTTTGGTAGGCCTATGTATGCTCTATGGAATTTGGTTTAATTCGTCGGCTACATCGTGTGCGGGAACCAAGAGGCCCGGGGCCGGGCCCCCTCCCCTGGGAAAAAAAATACAGTTAATAACACGATAATTTTACCCTTTTTTGGAGATGGGCCCCCTCCTCTGGCGCTCAAGGGGGGTGTGATTTTTCAAATTTTCGAGAGCCAAAAAAAAAAGTTAGTGCTCACTACAGGCATCCCCCCCCCCCTCCCCCCCCCCCCCCCTCCTGCTTATTCACCGGCTGGCTGTTACGCCGGCTAAATATTCTCTCACGAATTGGGCCCTCTCTTTGGCCCCCTCCCCTGCCGCCGGCTGGATCCGCCTCTGAGCGGTATGATGATTTACAGCTATGGCGCCATGCATATCCCTGTGTGCGTGTTTTTGTTTTTGTTTTGTTTTAATCAAAGGCGCATGGATCGAGGCTCTTCAATGAAGTCGGTATATTCATGAAAGTTTGTTTGGTGAAAATGGGTAAGAAGAACAGCGCCAGCGGCAGCTGTGTAATTAGCCAAAGATTTTGAGCCAAGGAATGCAATGCATACACACGTTGAGTCTTAATCTGATGAATGGGGAGCGGGGGGGGGGGGCTTTGCATTCTCCTATATAATTATACACAAATATAACATTTATGCTGACGCTCTTATAGATCAATCCATGTCTTCGAGAAAGAAAGAAAAAAAATCATCTTCAAGTTAGCAACTTTGGCACTTTTGATCACAGCAGGGGCGGATCTAGCTTTTTGCTAAGGGGGGGGGGTTTGACCAAAATAATGACGATGCAGAGCATCGTCCACGAGCAGCGTAGCGGCGAGCCGATTTTTTGGGGGGTGTTTATTTGAACCCCGTAAGTGATGTTTTCCTGGCATCTATTAACACAATGGAGACCATAAAAAGCAGTGCATGATAACGTCTTTTTAAATCAAGTAACAGCTTAATACACAGTTATATCCAGCCTTTTTATCATGTGTTTGGTTAAGTTACCAGATGAGTTGAATATCTTCTCACAATATTTGCACTTGAAAGGGTTTCTCTCCAGCGTGCGTTCTTTTTTCTTTCTTTTTTTCTTTTTTTTTTTTTTTTTTTTTTTTGGGGGGGGGGGCCGCCCAAGGGGGGGGGGGTTTGAACCCCCTAAACCCCCCCCCCCGTAGATCTGCGCCTGCACAGGCAGCGTCCGAACCATCATTTAGATTTGTTTTCCTTCCAATTTTGGTGGGCAACATCACTGGCGTACCTATGGGGGGGCAGGGGGCAGAGTGCCCCCCCCCCCTGACGGGCTCCAGGGGAAAAAAAGAAAAAGGGGAAAGAAAAGAAAAGAAAGGGAAAGGAAAGAAAAAGAAAAAAGGAAAAGGAAAGAAAAAAGGAAAGAAAGAGAAAAAAGGAAAAAAGGAAAGAAAAAAGGAAGAAGAAGAGAAAAGGAAGAAAAAGGGAAAAGAAAAGGAAAGGAATAAAAATGGGGAAAAAAAATAAAGAACATGGCCGTAAGCACCGGGGGGGGGCAGTTGACCCCAGATATTTTGAAATCGTACAATTTTTTTCCTGAAAATGTAGTGTAGCCCTATACCAAATCCTTCAATTCTACTTTTGAAAATGCAAAATTACCCTCATGACCAGTTCGGTCGCTCGAACTCCCTTCACTCCTTTTGCTTTTGAGATTCTTCGAAAACTTTTAACGCATTTTTCTCCCTTCCCCCATCAGAAAAATATTCCGCATACGGCCCTGAAAAATTAAAACAAATGAAAATAGGAAAATATAAGTGATATAACTAATTTGAAACTCTTCGCTGGCGCGAACTGCTTGCTAGCCTATTTTGTATTAAATGTTTTCACTTCCTCGTCCCCCTGAAAAAAGAAAAGGATTAGTATTGCCTAGAATAATTATTGTGCCTGCCCCGACGGGCCCCGACCTGCAACCATGGCAACAATAACACACAATATATATGTACCAAATGTTACTAAAAGAGACTAATTCATTTTTCTCGCTCGCTACACTCGCTCGCGAATAAAATAAATAGACATTGCTTTGGAAACAATTGTGCCCACCCTTGACCTGCAACAATATCATTAAAAATGGAAGAGTTTTTTCGCCCTCTCGCCAAAAAGGAATTGAATCGCGTTAAACGCGATTGCGTCCATCCTGACCTGCACCAATAAAAACAAGTTTATTTATTAATTTCTATTAAAAGAGAATTTATTTTTTTTGCTTGCTCGCTATGCTCGCTCGCCAAAATGGAATTGACACCGCTAACGTGCCCGCCCCAACCTGCAACAACCAGTTAATAATTATGGACGAAAAGTTATTCAAAGAAGTTTTGGTGTGCTCGTGCTCGCCAAAACGGAATTAACATCACCTTAGACATGATTGTGTAAGCCCTGCCCTGCAACAAAAAAATCTGAAATTTATGAACCAATTATCATTACAAAAATTTTGCTCGCTCGCTACGCTCGCTCGCCACAATAGAAATAACACCGCTTTTAATAATCACGTCCCTGACATGGAACAATTAAACCAAGTTTATATACCATATTTTCCCTATAAAAAGAAGTGATTTTTTTTTGCTCGCTCGCTACGCTCGCTCGCCAAAATAGAATTAACACCGCTTTTAATAATCACGTCCCTGACATGGAACAATGAACCCAAGTTTTATGTACCATATTTTCCCTATAAAAGAAAAGTGATTTTTTTTTCGCTCGCTACGCTCGCTAGCTCGTGGAATTATGTGCCCACCACTAACCTGCTACAATATCATTAAAAAGAGAAATGTAGGGGGTTGCCTGCCCGCCAAAATGGGATTGACATTTAAACACGATTGTGCCCGCCCCTACCTGCAACAATGAAAAAAAAATTATATAGCAATTCATTGAGAGAAAGATGTATTTTCGCTCGCTAGCTAAAATGGGTATAAAATCACCCTAAACACAATATTGTTCCCGCGCCCTGCATGGGACAATTGAACCAAGTTTAAGTGGCAATTATTAAAAAAGAAGTGATTTTTTTCTTGCTCGCTACACTAGTTTGCAAAAAAATGAAATTAACGTCGCTAACAATTGAATGTTCCCACCCCCAACTTGCAACAATACCAGTTTATATACCAAACGTTACTTCAAGATTTTTTTTTGCTCGCTCGCTCGCTCGCCAGAAGTGAAAATTAGCATCGCCTTTTTTTTTTTTTTTTCGGTCGCTTGCCCCCCTGACGGAGTACCCCAGGTACGCCACTGGGCAACATCACTCCAATTATATAATTTCTCTTTTTTTTAAGGCAGATTTTGTTTTTCTCCCAATATGACTGGTTATACGCACCCGCATCCAGAAAAGGCGTCGAAATGGTGTCTTTTTCAGCTGTATATACGGCATGGTCTGCGTTTTCCTTTAATAAAGGGGTGTTTTTCAAGCACTGATCGCACACAAACACAAAAAAAGAGTCCATTTCCATTTCAGATAAATTATGTTTATACTGTACAAAAAAAAATCCTTTTTATACTGTTGTATCCAAATATATTATTATGAAGAATTACCGTCACCTTTAACTTTTTTCTATATCGAAAAATCTATTTTTTTCTCCCAAATTACAGAATTGTATCACAATTTGTATACTTGATTGAATATATTAGTTTGGATACTTATGAAAAATATTTTAAAGATAAGTGTCTGTGTTTAAAATGTATGAGAAAATGTACTATGATTATATTGTAAGAATAATTATGTTCC